AAACATCCCTGGTGAACTGAAGTACTGGAATACCGGACGGTTGAAGCACGGGGGACATTCACGCCCACTCGAGCAAGAAACTGGACTCTCGTTGGCTCAAGCCGCAAGTCCTGGAATCTGAACTGAACTGAACTGAATCAATATAAGCTTATTAGGATACTCACCATGTCATTATGCCCTTTTTTATCTTTTAGTTTATTCATAAGCGCCTTGTACTAGCTTAATGTCTTCACTGGAATATTCACGGGTATAATGGCTGAGGTACCCGCTTAAGTCCTTCCGCATCTCACTCCTTGAGAATCTCAATTCATGCAGAACTTTTTCTTGCAACGCTACAGAATTCATATAATATATCTTAGCGCTTACTGAACATTCTGAGCATCAATTGACGCAAAGAACTATTGCCGGTTTCCTCCGTGATTTCCATGGCCGAAGTCAAAACCACAAGAGGAAGAGATGATCTCATTGGCGGTTGACAAAAATGTGTGGAAGCCCTAAGGAATAGTTGGACTCCTAATAAAGCTTTAGACTGTACGGTACCGTAGTATATCCGCAATTAACGCGCAATCCCTCGTGCTCTGCTTAGCGAGCTTGTCACGCAAAAGTTCGTGAAAAAACGCAAATTTAGCGTTTTCAATTCACTTTGAAATATGTAATTTGTCGTTTTACTAGAAAAATCTGCTCTCAGGTGGATACAATTGCTGCTTGAGTTCTCGTGTGTGATGAAAATATCAATTACTTGAAATATTATAATTTGAATGATCTGATGTAACGCCTAATGAAGATACCTTGATAAACCCATGTCAAAAACTAGAAAAGTTACATTTAATCTGGAAAACGGAATTTGCATCGCTGAGCTTTTTGGTTCTAAATCTAAGTGACTGAAAATATCAACATTTCAGGTAAGAATTCAAAGAGCTGGTTATTCTTTGGCGTTCCTTCAGAGTTTTGAGCATAAGTTCATCCTGTCTTTAGATTAAATGTTATATTTTCTGGAGAACACCAAAATCTCGTAAACGTTGGCTCTTAACAATATAGTGAAACTAAAAAATATAACATTACTCGACTAAAAGCATTCTAGGAATACTTCCATAAACCTTAAGTCTGAGGTCTTTGTGAGATCTAAACATTCGGAAAATTGATGGAATAATTCAATAACTAATTGTATTTGCTTAATGCCCTGATCCTAAAAGGGTTTACGTATAGTGTTTAATTTAGAACGCTGTTTCATAAGTTTTAGCTTACGATCGTGCTCGCTTTAGTGAGATTCTCTATCAAGGAAACTCCATTCTTGAGCGTAGACATTACTTCTCATTCTTTGATACTTTCATAAGATACGCGTAAACGTTTGCTTTGAAACCGAGACAGACTCCATGCTGCTTCATTTCAATTAGTAAAAATTACCTATCTAGCTCTTATCCTTTCTTGCTTCTATTTGGTGGACCTACCTTTAGGTAAGCTGCGTCATTTCATAGAAAGGGACAAACTCGAAACACGTTGATATAGATTTGGCTTTAAAATTGTCTTTGAAAGGTGTACAAATACTTTTACTAACATACAGGAGAGAGCAATCAATAATTTGAAGAATTATTGGTGAGCTATGTGCTGCACCACATCACAACTGCAACTGAAGTTTGCAGTCACCGTTATTCTCTAATCCCTAATATCTAGTGGTGTCTATTCTGAATTGCTTCCACTTTCGTGCTTTTATATTTCAGGCCCTTGTGTGATGGAAAGCGAGTTGAATGAACCCCATAGTCAGGTAGAACCATTGTTCATTCATAAAATCCGGCAAAATAAGCCCCGAAAACTGGGATTGAAAATCATATCAGACCCCACTAGGTTGTATTGGTGGTATTAAGCCAGATGACAGCGAATCTACCTCTAACAGTAGTGGCGGTAAAGGATGTCAAACTTCGGGCTCTAGGGACAAAAACAGACTGCTTGACTACAACCATAATCTCATGTGCGGGAAAATTTTATTACATACGTGATTACGTTTTGGAGATTTTATTCCTCTAAACCTATTCATCTTTGCATTGTCAACAAGAATGAAGTATATCTATTTATATATTAAATAAACACAAACTATTCTCATGCACTTAAAGAGAATGATAGTAAAACTAACTAGTACATAGTGATGCGAATCCGTCCTACTTCTCTCATTAGTTAAAACCATAATGTAGCAGTTTTCATCTGACCAGAAGCCTACGCTTCTCTATGGATTTCTGAAATATTAGGTATGATCCAATCGAATGACAATAACAGAGTGCATGCCATCGTGGCCAGGTAGTTTGCTCACATTTGCAGATAGTTTGGTGCTTTTAATTTCGGTTCTCTATTTTCGGCTTGTGAGTACTTCTAAAACAACTGTCTAGTACTGTTGTTCGGTTCTGGTAATCTGTGATAATCATGCCATTGTCTAACAGTGAGGATTTTATGGTATCCCTTAGATTGTGCTTTGGCCGGACATATCTATCTATATATATTTTTGGTTGCTGCTTGGCTTTCATAGCGTATATATATATATAATCACAAGTCTGACATCAGGTTATGTTCCAAACAAATCATGGTACAATAAACTTTGTTAAAAGGAGAAATGTTCCATGAATTGCATGTGGGCTGAATACTTCTAGGTTGCCCAGACCAATGCTAGTGAACTTTCTTGAGGAATTCACAAAGGGAGCCTTCGGCTAATCGTGGCTTGACCCGCAAGGCGGTGTGTGAAAATCGCAATTCATTGAGGGCCGGTGTTCAGTTCATCGGATCATACGCCCTTTGGACGAGGTCAAATGTCCATAGGTGCCCAATACACCTCAATGCCCAATTAAGTCAGTGACTACTGCCACAACCGGTGTGTGGTTCGTACGCCAACTCTTGGTTGGTTGGGAATAAGGATTTTGGCCAAACTCCCCAAGGTTAACTACCAGTAGTTAACCAACCGGGCTATAGCCCAGAATGTTGGCTATTCGTCCTGTTACCTTGATGGGAAAACACATCCGAGCCACGAGAAGGCAGTGAGTAGGGCTTCCTCATAAGAGGCTATTTGAGATGCTTGGTCATGTGGTGGCATTTCGCCAGGTGCAAGGGAGGGGTGACAAGCCGCAACCCTAGACAACCACTCCCCACCATACTGACGCTTTTGGAGGCGTGGCCAATAGTAGATCAGGCTTTCTGTTTCCCTATGCTATATAAGATCGATCACGCTATTTTTCTATAGTTCACCCGTGACAGTCGGGGGTTTACAATTTGGTAGTAACTTCTGGTCCTTCTTTTAGTTNTCTATTTTTTGACTGAAATTACCGTAGGGGATTGTTTTGGTAGTTTCATTTTTTGAGATTTACGAATTCATCTTGGGGTTCTTGCAAACAGTTCCCAATCACTTATCACCTTTCTTCCACGGCGGTCTAGTCGCTCATAACTTCTGACTTTAATTCAAGTGCATTGGACTTCAATCTTTTTGTGTTCAGTGTGCTAACATTTCTACTATTCCGATTGGGTGCTTTAGACTACTCGAAATGGAGCGCCAGCTTAGTCAGAACCTGACCACTCTTTCCAACATGACTTTGATATCCAGGTATACTATCCAGTAGATATGACTATTTTCCTGCCCTAAATGTTCTGTTCTGATATGTTTGTTGTACAAAAGTTGTGGTTTGTACCAATTCTAGAAATTCCCTTTCACATATACGCCGAAGACAGATTTTCACGTTCCACTGGTTACTCGTAGGTTGAAGTCACGTGCGATTACAGGCTATTGTTTTCAGTGTGCTTTCGTGTCTACAGTTCTCTGATTAGTTACACGCAGTCTGTCCGTGCTTGCTCTGTTTGTTTCGGACAATAAAGAGGTTGCACACACGCACAGTATAGCTTCAACAATACATATTCCCATTCCAGTACCGGGCACTTATTTGACACTAATGTTGCTATACCATTAGGTAGAGTAGGTGTCTCTCGCCTACCAGATTGGGGTCCGAAAGACTACAGCTGGTTGGTTGGAGACATTGAAGGATATGGCATCGAACCGGCAGCAGTGGCCTTCGTGTTGTCATTTCTTATCAGGTCGGAATGCTTGAAACGGTATGTATGCAGAGTTCGATTGTGAACTCTGTGTGTTGAACATAGTGGTTAACCTTCTTCCCCGTTCCCTCAATGTAGGTCCAATCCCTGTCCACCTTAAATTTTACCACTAATCTTGCATGCATTGCGAGTTTGGCAGGGATCAGTGAAGTTCGCCTCACTGTATTTTGCTGTACGATGATGATGATGACAGTGAATACGAAAGGTGAATACAAATTGATTCAGGGTAAAATTTTATCGTGAGTGTCTCCAAATGGAAACAGGCAACTGTGTTTGAACTTTAATCTAACTAGTTCACCAGTTGTTTAACGAATCAAAAATATAAATAAATTGTTTTATGGGAGAAATTTGCAATTTATGGTCCTTTCGACTTAGACAAATACTGTCAGACGTAATCAGTTGCTCGGTTTTGGGCATTCATTCATGGAATATTCTCTGAATGAATTAGATCAGTTTTGTGATGAAATACCCCTTCTGAGGTTGTATATATCGTTGCACCATTAACAACATAACTTGGTCTTAGTTACAGGGGGGAAAACAAACTTTATTAAACCTACAAGTTAAATGCATATTTTTGAAAACGATTGTTGTTCACCGTCACAAAAAGCACACCTATGTTTTAAAACATTTGATGATTAACTGGGTTTTTTCTCATTTCAGGTTGGAGCTCATTCGTGATTGTTTCACTTGAATTGCAATGAGAACAATCGAAATAAAAGAGGTCAGTGTACTAACTGTTTTAGCCGATCATCGAATTATTCCAGAAAAAGGAACACAAAACATCCAATCCGAAAACGGGCACACTAGCCGAGCTGTTTGAGTTCATCATCTTAGAGGAGAATGCATCTGTCCAGTGTAACCTTGTCGATGCATTTCTGCACACGTATCGGTTATTTTCAACCACAGAACAGGTGTTGCTTATGGCCGATCGCAAGTGAGTACAGACCCGAACAATTTTGTTAAAGTTGCAGGTTTTGGGATCTTTGTCATTCGGATTCGATCTCGGAAGAGATGAAACTCAGAGAAATAAGGTGAGATAAATGAACATCCACATATGGTAAAATTCCACATATACTCTATTGATTTTACGTCTCTGTCGTTTGAATTTCTAAACAAACAAAAACGGAATTCGGAGAAGAAATGCATGAGAAATAATGTATACATTGAATACAAAGCAGGAACGAGTGATCAAGTTATTTTCCTCAAAAATGGGGCAAGTTTTGATTTGATTATATGGGGATTTGTGTCGTGTAAAGAGCAGAAGAGTCATAACCCCCTGGATACTAGAGCTAATATGGATGAGGTGTAGTGTACGCAATAAGCTTGTAGAAAGCAGTTGTGCTGTTATGTATAGGTAAAATTAAAAACGGTCTGATCAGCTGCCCGAAAGTCAGGTGAGTAGTATGCTTGTGTTCTACCTGTGAGATTCGGTTCTCACCTCGGTCTGTGGATTCGCACTGCTGATGAGACCCAACCAGATCGAAACAGCTGTCCAGTACCAACTTAGGTTTTCTGTGCATGAAAAAATTTACCATAGAATGAAATTTACTTCTTTTGGATTTCTTTCCTTGTATTGATTATTTTTCAACTGATTCTTGTTACACGGTCTAGAGTTCATGGTCATCTTTTTGAACAGATCAATTTTTGGTGGTAGGCAGCTTTGCCGTCATCCGGTTCAGTACCACGCCTAACCCAGTGGGGCCTTGTGTGGTTCGCCCCATTCCAAGTCCCGGGGCCTAGGTTACCGGTTTTCATCACTGAACAGCAAGTTTCCGCCACCATGGGGTTCACCCAGTCTGTAGTTCATCATACAAATGTGTGTAATAAAAACGGAACAATGATTGGTGATTAGCATGCTCAAAATTGTGTCAATAAACGTTGCCTTATGTTTCACGGCAAACTTATACTGGAACGTTATTTAGTTTATCAATTGTTACCTTAAGATAAAACGTATAAGTCCCCGCGCATTTTAGATAAATATCACGGACGTATGTTACACTTGCAGAGGTCCATAGATTTCTCATTTTATGAGTTATATACAGCTACCTATTTTACTCCTCGTCCAAAACAAGCATTGATAGGGAATTTTATTGTTTCTATCCTGTCTGACAGTGTGTGATCAGCGATCTTTTACTCATCAGATAGTATTTATGCAACAGATTATCAATAAATTTGTTTGAAAAGGACAAAATCAACCCCCACAGAATTGTTGTGTATGATGCTCTGAATTTGATGATTTGATTTAAAACGTGTACAGTGTACTGTCGATACGTATAAACAAGGAGTTACAGGTAAGAATTCCATAGTTCAAAAACCATTCTATTTTTCTTTTTGGGTAATGTTTTGGCATTTGTTTATTCCACCACCCTGCACCTCACACACAATCAGCTCATTGCGGTTGCTTCTGTCCCGTTGGCTTCGACAACCACATGTGCGTGATTTTGATTCGATTTCGGGCTTGGCCGAATTGCATCGATTCACCTCAATCGTGGTCGGTTGGTATTGGGCGTTTCAACCGAACAACACCAGCACCACACCGAGTAGTGAACAGCCAGGCAGTTGGACATCACGTTATATGGGCATTTCACCCCAAGTCATGTCTGGACGGGTGTCGAACATCATGTTTCCAAACATTGGCAAACGTAACCGAGACAGTATGGCGAAAAAGTTGGATTCCCTTTGTAGACACGCCGAATATCGGGCGAAGGCGTTGCAAAGTAAATATGCCGAATCGGATTCTGGCCCATCTGTCGGTCGAACCAGTGAGTTGGTCATTTCAGATAACTTTTTATAGTGACTAATATATGAAGGAGTGAACAAAACTTCCCCGAAGCACACGACCGGTTGGCAGTGTTTGCCACTCGTCACGTATGGGTATCCGATGGTCTTTTGTCTGATCATTCTTATACTTGAAATGCACAAGACTAGAGGATACGCATACCTAACGAGCCATAAGCACTGCGAAACCAGTCGTGTGCTTCTGGGAAGTTCTTCCAGTCATTCATTTACTACTCATTTTAAAAACACTGAAAATCGACCCTGGCGTTGAGTTGGCTGAGGTTAGACGCATCTAACCCACAACACCTGATACAGAATCATCTCAATGATTCTTCGAGACCTTTTTCTTCTCAAATCCACTCTCCCGAGTTGATAATGAGGTTTATATTGCATTTCAGATGACTATTTGAGATTTAACCATTTTCGGTTAATAGATTAAATCGGTATACACATATTATTATTATTATAATTCACTTACCATGTAACTCATACCAGTCGGACGGTTTGGTTCGAGAGATTAGGAGTTACAAGTTGATTAATCAGTAAATTCTAAATGCAACGATACTCGTGCATAGATTCTCATCACGAATGCTTGAAACGATAAACATATATATCTTGGGTATAGTAATGGACCATTAGAATTCTCAGTTCGCTCCCAGATGAGACGGAGGTGCCAACTTTCACCGGTTTTATTTGACGTTGACATTATTTGGCCAATCAACCATGCCATGATCGATTACCACTGTGTCCCACTGAACCCGACATTTCACATCTTGGATTTGGAGTTCACAGACGATGTCCTGCCAGGCTTCAACTTGATCTCAGCAGAATCAATGTGACCACCACCGGTCTCAGAGTCCACACAATAAANTCTGGGGGCCAGGTACGCAAGAGCTGTTCGTCAATCGCTCACATATTGTGAAATGCTATTCTCTAAATACCCCAGTTTATTCAGACTCCCAAACGACCAAGCGAACGATGAAACAATGACGATCCTGGACACTGCATGTGAAGAGGTTCTCCAGTTACACTGGTGTTCCGAACCCATAACGATATCAGGTTTTGGTCCAACATAGGTGTCTTTTGTGCCTTTTTCCAACCGTGGTCAGCTACGGATGTGAAACTGGGCACCAGGAATCTAGAGTTATTTGACCACTGGTGCTATTTCCTTAAGAAAAAAGATTAGAGGAAATAATATCTAACGACGAACAACTAACCATCATCCAGTGGCTCCTGAGACGATAATGGTTTGAACAAATACCATGATACCCCAACACGGCATTGGCCGAACAAACGTTCTACTCTGCATTTTTTCTGGGATACTGTTATCGTGTTGGTGATCACTTGCGAATTTACAGTTCGTGCGATCCACACGACGTAATATACCAAAGCCTACTGACAATGAAGGTTCTCGCAAATGAAACCATAGCTATCTATCTATCTATCTATCTATCTATCTATCTATCTATCTATCTATCTATCTATCAAGTTGTCTAGTTTTTCTAGTTTTTCTATGAAAGCAGGCTGCACAGCCTTCAATATAAAGTTTGTTAAATAAGAGCGTTTATTGCTGGAGTTGGCTTGTTCAACAGGATTTTTATTTTAACTGACAAAGCGTGTCTTATAACTTTGGGCAATAATAATCGAATACTCTAAGGATTATCGACTTTTTGCTTATGTTTTAGAAGCAAGTCAATTAAACCCCGAGGTCATTTGATGCGTGACTAGTCCGTTTTAAGCCTTTAATTCTAGAAAGAAGCGTAACACAAGTAGATGGGCCATGGGTGTGACCGGTAAAGTTTGACAAATTGGCGAATTATTGGTTCCACTACACATGATCCATTTTCACACTGTTTTTTTAAAAGACAAACTGGAACACATAGTATAAAGAAGTGCTGNATTCGGGGCGTTCAGTCTACTGAAAATGACTATTTATTCTGTTTGCTTGACATTCATTCCATTGATAGGCCATCGTCGTCAGTGTTCACCACACTACGGGCCACGATCAAATCAAGCGTATTCAACTGACCGGGTGCGAAAAATCTCTGCTCCAATCGGAAACTACACTGAAATACCTTCTGGTCTAACCTATTTCAATGTGGCCGAGGAGCTCACGCTTATTGACAAGGTAGATGTCAAGTTAATTACCATCACTACCACCATCCCAACTATTCCAGCCATCACCAGGAACATCCAAAAATGAACGCGATTCTCAGTGTTCCACATTGACCATTTGTGTATTATGCTTTACTATACGGCTGATTAGGTCAAAAGCGAGTAAAAACTGGGTGACAAAGACGATAGCAATCTCCAATTTCTCCATCGTTTCACCTCCTACAGCTTTATGATTTACAATCACATGTCACAGAGCTAACTAAACTAAACTGATTTCCATGGTCTCATTGTTGATTTGGATGATTTAACCCAGTCTATTTTCCATCCTTATAAAGCTATTTCGACCACGAGTTTGACTGATAAACGAAACAGTTGATGTTTACAGACAGAAAATGCACATTGTAAATTGCACACCACGCTACGTCTGACACTGTTACACTTTGCAGTTGGATGCAGATTTGTATCGTTTCTGAATCTCCCATCGTTTCCACCCGATTGGATCAATAGTTGCCTCGCTTTTAAGGACCCTAATTCCATTTGATTTCGGCAAATTAATTTCGTCCTTTCCAATGTTGTATGTGTTTTGAGATAATGGACGCCATCATGTTTCCAAGGGCTTAAATGGCCCTTTTAGGTGGTGGTTATAGTTCATTCATTCATCCATCCATCCCGACATCCATCCATCAATCCCGACATCCATCCATCCATCCATCCGTCCCCACATCCATCCCGATATCCATCCATCCATCCCGACATCCATCCATCCATCCATCCGTCCCCACATTCAACCTCGACATCCATCCATTCATCCATCCCCACATCTATCCATCCTTCTCTCATTCGTTATTATCACTACATCAATCATCATTTTTACCGAACAAGTCATGTAGGCGAAGAACAACTCAAACATAAGAACCGGGTTTGATGCCCTAAATATTTTCCTGTCCGGCTTGCTATTTTTGTTCGTTCTCGGTTGTTTTCGCGGAAAATTACTGAGCAAGGTGGAGTCCAGAAGACACGAAACAGTGGAATAGCAAAGGAGTGGTTGTCGTGGAATTTGTAAAACACTTGTACTGACAAATAGTAAATAAAGAAGTTTAAAATTTCTCCCAATGTTTTATAGTCATCGTATGAAATAATTTTTAAATTTTAGATCAACTTCATAACTATAGATTCGTCCGTGTTTTAACACGGACAAATCTGTTTCACCACGATAAAGAACTTGATAGAACTCAAATGATATCATACAGTAAAACATTCCATTTTTTCAATGAACCAGTACATCAATAAATTTGACTTTAAATAATTAATAAATAAATTGTCAAATTTAATGTGTAAATCTTTGAAGATGTGGCTATACGAAACGAACTGAATCCGATGCAACACCGTGTGCACTGGCATTGCCGACTGGTATCAATCATGACCTAAATTCAAAGCACGTGACACATTCTGGATGAAATTTTCTCAACGAAGCAACAATTTGCTAGGTAATAGCACAAAGGAACTATAACTAGCTA